AAATACAATGTTACTTCAACGGAAAAATACGCAGAAGCAATTTCTGATTTAAAAATCCAATTTGATTCGAGGTTCTTAGATTTTAAAGCTAATGAAAAATTGTTTAATATGTTTTCAATTCCATTTTCATTATCAKTTGAAGATGTCCCAGAAACTATGCAAATGAAGATCATTGATTTATAGAACAATTATACAATATTAAAAGAAAAGTACAATAATGTTGAACTTTCAATTTTTTATTCGAATTATATTGACACGGAGACATATCCTAATCTTCGAAACAACGCATTAAGAATGATGTCTCTTTTTGACAGTACTTACACTTGTGAACACATTTTTCACGAATGAAAATTGTCAAATATAAAACTAGAGCTCGGTTAACTGACTATCACATAGAAAATTTACTCAGAATTGCATTGTCTCAGATCCAACCAAATATTGAAAAATTAGTGAAAAACATTGTCAGTTTTCACATTAAAAATAAAATAAAAAATTTGTAATTAAAAAAAATATATTTATCTGTATATGTTTTAATAATAATAATAATTTGTAATTTTAAATGTACCTACCTAGGTAATTTTAAAAATTGTAATGATAAAACTGAATTTTTATATAAAATACATGTTTTTACTACGAATGTGGCCCGCAAGATTTAAAACAAATAATATGTGGCCCGCCGCATAAAAAGGTTGAAGACCCCCTGGTATAGATGGTGTGTGGAGAGCAAAGTCTTCCACTAGTCATTTTGAGGTAAAAGATTTTAGCATTCCCAAGTTTAAGACTGAATGTGTGCCTATCATGTTTAGCATAACATAATATTAACTAATTGATAAGATAATATAATATAATATAATATGTTATGTTATATTATGTTTAGCTTAACATAATATTAACTAATTGATAATATAATATAATATAATATCAATTAGAGTAAAATATAAATAACAAAAATATGTTTGTGCATATTATTATCCATTCTGTATTTTTCTTCAAATTAAAATTACATAACTATATAATATACTATTTAACGTATCTATTTAAAATAAATAGAGAAGTAAGAAAATATTTTACTACCTATTTAAACTTACATAAAGGTCATTAAATTAATTATCATTTAATATTAAAATACATCACGTGTTTAGTGGTAACGATTTGTACAGGCGAACACGTGAAAAATGCGCATGGACAACAGAACTACATAAATAGGTTAACATTTTACAGCCTTAGATTATGTTATTGATTATTATGAAGAAAATTAAAAAACAAATTAAAATACTTCAAATTAAATTGTAGTTTTTAAATGTTCCATAGAAATATGAATGAAATTAAAAATTCTAAAAAACGGTGAAGAGTTTGATATTTGATATCTGAATTTATTTATATCACATAAAATATGATCAAAACAAGCTGATAAGGAATTTAACATTAATATTTTGAATTTTAAAAATTAATTGCACCTCCTTATCCACTGCCGTATCGATATA